GCAAGAGTGCCACTTTTTCTCATAATTTTTCAACATTTTTTTCTGATTAATTATTACGGAATGTAATTATTCTTAACACAAATTTCTTATAAGATACATTTTTCATTAAATTATGTAATTTATATCCGCGGAGGAATTTAAGAACAAAGATGTATTTAGTAGATAGACTGCCAAGTTTAAAGGATACATCGGCAAACGATAGTCTGAAGCTCGAGTGTACACCAAGCCTCACGTTTGCGATATGAATTTCATTGCGCTTGAAGTTTACGATGTAGACGACGTGCGGCGAATTTGGTCGGTTTCCGTATCACGTGAAACAATCGCTTGCAAACACGCGGAAAGTAAATCTTAGTTGCCATACGGTGATCGGTACACGTTTCCATGAAATTGTATATGTAAAGCAAAGTGCGCTGCAATTCGAGATTACTGAGAACAATATCTTAGAAGATATGAATATTTTGTGGATATAGATTGTACATGAATATTTACCATCCATTTTTACCGTTAAGCCCAATACAATTTGATTATATATATATACCCTGGTTTTTTAAATAAAATAAAATTGCCACTATGCTGCCGCGCGCGCAACACCGCCTGTCATCGTATATTATTTAAAAGTATATTGCTATATTAATATTATACACGTTGAATATTACAGATCATTCAAAATACAAAAATTTTCTGGTTTTAATTGTAAAATAAAATAGCTTTGAAAGTAGTAAATCGGACTACATCTACGCGAGATAATTTATTACTCGTAGCCCCGTTATTTATTTCGTTTTATTTTAGCATTTTGTTATAAATTGTCGGGCCAGAGATGAAATGACATTAAAGTTTTAAAGCCAACGTAATAAAATTGCAATTCAACATCCATTTTTATTTCGCTAGCTATCGGTCGAAATAACAATTAAATGCATCGATCGAGTCTAGGCAATTCCGAACCCGTTACGTTAATTAACCCATGTTTTCGCTCTCGGAATTAAACATAAGACACCCCGAGACTGGTGGGGATAATGTACGACTAACTTTAACACGCCGAGATCTACAGGGTGGTAAATCGGACGATTAAGTTCCTCGTCGTTCGAAAAGAAGCCATCTCCTGTCATCGTGGGCGATCGGATCCCCTTGCGGCACCCTTCGCAATCTTCTACGTCTCCCTTCGCTGATCTTGCGCGATCCACCAACGTCCTACCCTCGTCCCACGGTGTTAACTCCGGGAAAACGGGGAGAGGGACGGACACCCAGCGCGGCGAGAAAAGAAGTTTGAATTTTCCAACGTCGAGTTTGACTTGCAGAGTGCTAATATTAAAGTTCGTCGTGTGCCGCTCGGGAACGGAAACGGGAAGGGCCAAGGCCTTCCTCGGAACGGGGACACGGAACGGAGAGAGGTGCCTGCCGCGCCTCGTGCATTAGCCGAGGCTCTCGGGATTAGATTAGAATTTGTTAGGGGCGTCTCTTCGGCGGTAACTTCGTCCTAGGAACGCCGCGCCGCCAGTTTTGTTTCATCGCCCACGGGCGTGAGAGCTTTTCGGAAACTTTATTACAGGAAGTTCCGTCGGGACGCGCGGCCCTGCCACCAGGAGATGAGGCACAACGTTTTTAGAACCGACCCGTCGAAGCAGACCGGAAGGGCCGCGAGACCTTCATCCTATATTGTTTGCACACTGTTATCCCTGTCTTGAGTTGTAAATGTCATCCTGTTTGGATATAACTTTCTTCCAGCGCGCGAAAATCGGAATGTTGTAAAATAAAACAGTTCTCAAATTATGATATTCGTATATACGTGTGTGTGTTTATTATTTGATAGGTAATCGTGAAATTCGGAGAAGTGCACATTACTGCACATATAAGAATTCATAATGAGTTCAACTTCTGAGTACTTTGTCACTTATGAAATAATGTGATTATTTTATTGATTGTATCACTAATTATAATAACTTCTATAAATGATTTTTTAATGATATTATACAAATATAGATATGTATATGTCACATATATATTTTATTCTCACATTTTATTATCTTTGTCTCTTCTTTCAAATAATTCTCGCACCCATAATTAATAAATGTTTTCTCTTATTAATGATATATACATTTAGTCGTTATATCTATATCAAGAATTTATATAAAATCATTATTTAAACAATTTTCATATTAAGATACAGATATTTATTTTTTTCGAATGTTTATGACTTATTACGATTGATTAATGGTACGCCTCAGTCGACCATGGCCCTTGAAACTTACATTCAGTTTGCTGAAGCAGTGGCTTCCAAATTCTACTCACGCGGTATTAACAACAAACTTTCCTCCCTCAGAAGAAGAGTCAGTACGGTTTGTCTATCTTCAAGACTTTACCGAGGTTTGCTTCGTTCTTGCTGTACTTCACGCATTAAGCGAAACACTACGGGGCTGGATTAGAATTTGTCAGAGCTGTCGCGCAATAACTTTGTCCCGGGAAAATGCTTGGAGTTTGGCTTTAAGAAGTTTGCTTCTCGTCTTACGATAAATTGAAACTAATTTACACCACGCATAATGAAGTTCTTAAAGTGCATCTCCGAGACCCCGGGAGGAGAGTGTCAAGAGAAAAATTTGTGACCTCGGAAAGTAGAATGTATCGCATGCTGCGCGCAGAGTAAAATATATACTAGTCGGCGTATTACCCTTATTATTACCCTCAGTGCGATTTAAATAAAATATTACTCCGTTGAAGTAAACACACACACACACACACACACCACACAAATTACAATCTCGATAAATAATTTAGTGCCAGGATTGATTAACCTCTGATAAACTATAGATATTATTGTTGAGTTACGATACTAATCAGATTTATCAATTATTATTTTAGTAATTTAATTTTGGTAATCAATTTAAGTGGTTATTTTTAATAAAACTGATCAATTTTAGCAGTTGTTTTTGTTCAGCAAAACTTCAGCATCGCAATTATCGTTATCCTGATAAATTAGTGCGATATACCTAAAATAGAAATTATCTGAAATACCTATATGCCGATAAAATGGTTTTTCCTGTATTATATCTTTTTTCTAACTTGTCCCTCATCTACTCCTGTTGTAACAGACGTCGATCGTGAGTTCGTTCCAAATTGACAGTTTTACGACCACGTTAAGTTTCTTATTTTTGTGCCTCTCGAAGCCGAAGCACGAGAGAGCTTTTCTTCGTCGTCCCACTTTGGTCGTCGACAACTAAGAACCTGACTTTCACTTCCTCTTAATTCGATTCGATTTACACTACGGCGAGGAGCGCGGTATTCGTATAACGGCATTACTTTTACGATTCCTTCCCAGACTGAAAATCGAGCACGACTCAGGAAAGCTTAGTACAGTTCCTTTTATTACCTGGCAAAAGCCGAATCGTTCTCGAAATCGAGCATCTGCGCAAATAAACGTAATAGCAAAATGCATTTAACGATATTTAACGTTTTGCAGTCGTATGAACTCGACAATTATAGCACAACAAATGGCTTCACTTTGTATAAAATATATTTTGTGGATAGCTACAAAAATGATGAATAATTGAAATTTGTTGCTGCGACAAATATTAAAATGAGATAAATATTGGTATAATGTTATTTCGCAGTTTTTAAAATAATTTTAGAGCTCCAGAGTTTAAACGACTCAACAATTTATTGATAATTACGCGTTTTCTTAGTTAGAGTCTTCAAATATTTACTCTAATATCACATTAACCGGAATGATCTCGGGGGTGAAAGCGTGGCGCATCGTAAACGTGAACTACCCACTAGACCAGGCGAGATAACACAAGGATGTAGGCAAGAGTGTTTTTAAGATATGAAATTCTCTCTCACAATTTTCAAAATAATCATAGAAAACAATTTTATGAGAATAATATAATATAAAATTCTTTAAACGCGTACGCGATAAAGATAAATACAAACAAACAAAATAAATAATAAATGAAAGAAAGAGACATTGAACCAAAAACTAATGTAAAAATAAATAGTGAAATAAACTATTCTATAAAACCAATTATTTTCTATACGTAAATTATTCATTTTATCAATAAGATCAGTGTTAATCTAAATTTCAACTAGTTCAGAAATTTCTAAACAAATTCCTGTATTATTTGTGTTAACGTAAAAATCATTACTGAAAGTTCTCCATAGCGAAAAGATTCTTTTAATGAATCCGATTTAATATCGCGAAAAGTTGAGACAGTTTCGAGAGAATTCTGCCTACGCCCTTGGCGTAGCATAAGATAACAATACAGCTGGTGTAGCGCCAAGCTGTATAGCCGTTTCCATAGTCATAGTCAGACGGTTCTGCGTTTTATGATAATGCTCTCACGTCAAACATACACCGTTACCCCGGGCGTTTAATGCGTTTACTCGAAAATTTTCGTCGCGACGGAGTAGGTAGAATGTCGCGATTCACCTCGCGCATTACAAATGTTTTTTACGGTGTTGTTCCGTAAGCGAGTTACGGCCGCAAAGCTCACCTTCGAGACCCGTACGTTTCCCCGGTGACGTGGAAATATCATACTTGCTGGATTTTACGGGCCGCGTGTTTAAAACTCGCATGTTTAATTATTCCCGCGAAATGTAAACTACCCGAATTATGGTCGAACTGCTTCGCGTGGCTTTAAAACTACGAAAGAGATACGATTATCCTTTCTAATGGTTACACCGAGGTTCGTTAACGTAACTACGTAATGTTCGCTCGGGCGCGGCGTAATTTTACACTAAATATGTATGAAAAACCTTTTTCGGCTAAATTTTAATTGCAATAATAATTGTATCACGAAAAAGTCTATTGCTTTAATGATATAGAACTTTTAATTGAGTTTATCAATAAGTAATTAAATGTACCAGATAAAATCGATCTCGCAAAAAATTGTTCATTATTGTAACAAATACATGTAGCTTTGTTCATTATTTTGTTACACAAAATTATTAGTTATTGGATAAAGCAGTAGAATCTAAGGTTGACATAAAAAACTGAATTTTGAACAACTTACCTGGCCATTTCTTTGAGGAATCAACTCGCAGGGTTCCTTCGCTCTGGATTTGATCTTTACCGTTGGTGACGCGACAAGTATAGAAACCAATATCAGAAACGTCCAAATTTGTGATTTTTAATCGACTTCCTGCCAAGTTCTTCGCCGCGTGTTCGTGCATCTGGAATTTTATACGTACTTGCGTCTATATTTACTAAATAGTAACTTGAGAATTAAAAATTAAGAGACTTAAAAATGCAATGAGAGAGTATAAAAACTGTTTTCAATAAAAAATATAAAAAATATATAAAATAAACATAATCACTCGCGCACAAAACTCTAGAGGAACAGTTGCAAAAGTAGTTTAACAATTATGCTTACTTGTGCGTGTATTTTCCTAATGGTGATTTTCGGTCGGTTCTCTTCTAATGGTGCTTCATTCTTGTACCATCGTATCTTTGTCGGAGGTGGATCGCCCACGACTTCGCATCGCATATGAGCAATGCCGCCGGCATCCTTCGAGATGTTTGTCAGAGTCCTTACGAATTTTAAAGTACCACTTTTCGTGCCGGATGCAGCGTCCACGTCGGTTCTACGAAAAAAAATAGTAAAACACATTATACTTTACAGTCCTATAACAATAAAATATGTAAAATATAAGCAACTTTTTTACAGTATTTGTTTTAAAGTACGATGATGTAGCTATATGTAGCAGTAAAAACAATGATTTAGGAGTTGAAACTATAATTCAATCGCGCATGATATATCGCGATAATAAAAAAATTCTATATATTATGTACCTTATGTCGTCTTGCATTATTATCTTATAATACCGCATGATATTACTAATTTACTATGTTACTTTATTACTACTTTATTGTAATTACTGTATTTATTAATGCTATTAGATTAAATATCCATGAATTTAAATATCCCTTTATGGATTGCATCTATGATCCCATCTGCGGTTTAGATAACAATGTAACTTTGTAACGAGGTATTATTGAAGCATATGAAGTTTATCGTTCGTGAGCCTCGTTCTATGCCTTGTTAAGAACTTTAGTTGAATCAACGTCAGATTATATCTTCATAATCCATAGCATGAATAAATTTTAAAATCACTTGATCAAATCTTAAAAAAAATAATGCAGATGTAAGAATTTTTTAAATAGAATTAATAAAATTAATTATAGTTAATTAATAAAAATTAATTTTTTAAAATAGAATTAATATCTAAATAAATAAACAAGTTCTTTTTATTCAAGATAAAATAGCACATGAATGTATGCAAAAAAGATAATTGTCGATATCATAAAAAAAATAAATTATTTATCTCTAATAATTATTTATATTTTTAATTTTTATAATATTTATTATCTGATCAAATAGATGATCTGCCAAACATACTTATTTTCTAAGCTCATTAAATTCCCGTATCTATAATATAAGTGAAATAATAATGTTTCGAAAAGTGTCATATTATTTTTTTGAAAGCAAAGTTATGCGACACGAATCAATATCGTGTTCTCAGGGATATGGAATCATGCACCCTAGCGCGATAATCGTGAGCGAGATGCCTAGTATCAATTCGACGCAACGCACTTCAGAGACATGGATGCTGCAATCAATTGCAGCTTCCGGCGGGTAGAAGCAATCAAATAGCCGCGCTTGCACCTCGGTGAGTATCAATCCAAGAGAACGAATACCACCGAATGCAATGTTAAATATATATGCATTAATACGCGGAGTTGCTTACGATTTTTATCCTTACTTTCTTACTCTCGCCGCGTTCGCGAAAGTAAAGACGTATCGCGCCAAGTTTCTCTTATCGCGAGAGACTTGATGTATGGTGTCGCGAGACGCATTTAGCGGAGCATACGTTTCCAGAAATGTGCCCCCCCGCACATTTTTTAAATCCCGTATATTCGCGCAAAGATATGGCCTGGCGGCGCCTCCTTCTACTGAATTCCTGAAAGTCACGGAAATAATTCAAGCGAAACGCGCACACGGGACAAAGGGCGACTTTAATTATGTCGCCGATGCAGCCGCATTTCACACGGCGACGTTCACGGCTGCCGACAGCCGTGCTAATGTTACGACGTACCGTTGTAATGAGAGATACGCGCCGTTCGGGTGCTAACGCGTTCATGTAGCGGCAATGGGATGCGATTATTGTCCGCGGTTGCTTTTGTACGTTGATATTGTTGCTGCTTGGCACGAGAAAATGGAGATAAATTGGAAAAAGAAATTCAAATGTGCTTGGCAGAATCCGGATAGTCGGTGATAATGCAAAGTACCATGCGAGACATTTGGTTCAAATAAAATTTTGCGCAATTAATTAGACAATTATATTTAAATAAATAAATAAACATAAGTAAATGTAAAAGTTTTTACAAAAAAAGGTTGATTTTGGTTTAAGACAGATGAATGCTCAGCAAGGCTGCACTTTTTTGAACACTCTTCTTTATCGCAATGTTTTTATGTATTTTAATTGTGTAAAAAACGTATATATTTTCTATCGCATTGTACATATTGATGTACGAGCGATAATTCAATGAAATTGTCAAGATTTCTCTATTCATTCGAATGAATATTACGCACGTTTCTATTTTCTAACCTTCTCTATTTTTTTAAATAACTCTGCAACCAATTATTATAGCACCATAGAACTTTGTTGTACCATGTTAATCCAATTTGCATTTTTACTGGAAATAGCTAGCTTTAAAAAAAGATCCCTCATGCATTCATAAACAGCCCTCCATTAAATTTTGCTTGGTCGGTGACTGTTCTCGCTGCGAGGCGAATTCGAGCGATGGCTGATATGCGAAGGAACACAAACGGAGGAACAGGGCGGTTAGGGTGACCCTATCCTTCCGCAGAGGGCCAATCATCGAGTTTACATTGCCGCCTGTGTGCGTGCAAGTCGGCAAGAAGTGCAGTGTACGTGTGTACGTGCGCATATACGCGAATGCGTGTGCGAGCCCTTAGATACACGGACGTGAGGAACGTCTGTGTACGTACCATCAGCCACGTTTGCACGTGGCAGGACGTGATTGCACGTGGGTACGGGGGGGGTAACTAACCCCGCGTTTACCGCTGGTTATTGAATATAAATCAACCTATGATCAGTAAGTCATCGCGACGGCCTGCCAGAGGAAGCTCGCCTCGTTCGCGGCTAAACAATATGGATATGCAAACATTTGTCAGAGCGCCTGAGAAATAGATAATCGCCACAAGGTGTATAAAAATTGGTATTTTAAATTATGATATATGTATGTACGGACAAAATATCTTTCTATATCTCTCTAATGAGAGTTTGAAAATGCACACATATAATAACATACATTAAATATTGTGTCTGTTTTGTATTTTTTTTTACTATGATATACATATTTCGCTAAAAGAATATGCGCCACTCTCATTTATTAATTAAAATATTAATTTTGGCATATTTGTTTTCATAATGCAAGGCATACTTATATAGTCCTTTAACATCTTTCAATTCTGTAGAAATAAAACAATAAATTCTAAATATCATCAGGATTGTTAATTCTTTCATAATTTTATTAAGGAACTTTCAACTTTAAATACTGTCTTTAAATGTGTTTTCCTGTACATCATCCTGTATCAAATGTAAATTTGAAAGTCCTCTAAAAATTTTTTTTCTGAATGTCTAATTAAATACAGTGTAAGGATTCGATTTCTGAGGTGCGTCAAAAACTGAGAACTTGTCGGTGCAGCACGGTGTGCATAAATGCACCAGCGCAAATTGCATAAAAATCAACAGCGACGCGACGTGTGTCACGACCGTGGCTCGCAGCTTTCGACGCCGGGTGGCGCGTATGAAATTAGCGGCGTGTAGCGGCGAGCAAGATGAAAATACGTACACCGCCTGTGGCGTTGCACAACGCGCCAGTTGACTGCGCTTTATCTACTCGCCATGTAAAGTAATTCTATGCATTTTGAAGCGGACACTGCGTTTATCAGTCGGTTGATGCGAAACGTGCCCTTTCCACTTTCGGCGCGCTGCACGCGATGACACGCGCGTGCATTCTTAACTTGGCGTGACGCGCGATATATATACATAAAACTGCATACATTTACGTACGTAAACGCGACGCTATACCCTCTTATCTATCGGCCCATCACGATATTTTTGTCGCACTGTCTCGCCGTATACATATAACGCGGAAAAATTCTAGGAGATTATACATACGGCCGTGAACTGAGCAGGATTAAAATCTTTAGAAGCTTTATGTATTCAAAAGATTACGGTACATCATTCAATAAAGTATTAAATACAATAAAATTTTATCTTTCAAAATAAGACGCGAGATTTATATGCTTAAAAATTGCTATAATTATTGCAAATGACTTTACATTATTTATTCATAAAGCTTGCTAGAGACACAATAATTTGCATGTTGAATTTTTGTGAAGTAAATATCTGTGAAAAAAACTTTTTTCACCTTATATCGCCTAAAGAACTTTTTGTACAAATATTATATTTCATTCTGAATTATTTTTATAGGATACCTAATTTTATTAATCCTATAAAAATCATTAAGAAAGAAATAAAATTATTATACATTTTATATTGAAATAGCATGAAAATTATATGATTGAAATATCTTTCGAATAACGCGTTGATTATCTACATATGCTACTCTTGTCTTTAATGTCGGATTTTTAATAATAATTGTCATGATCAATGTGTATTTCATATGAATCATTATCATTTATCGATGCCGAATCATTTTAAGTACCGCGATTTTTATGAGACGATAACACGTACGTTTTATTTGACGAGATCTAATTACAGAAGCATTTGCAATTAATCGAGTCACGAATGTTAATCGATCGTGACTGGAATAATTAATATCGGAGTAAATATACAGTTTGCACTACCCTACGGCGGAGGGCGGCGACGGCAAAGATCGACAAAGGGATTTACAGAACACCCACGACTCACGACATGTATTCGCAATATATAATAGCATATGCGACTCTGCTAATTACGCGGTCCGACCCCTCGTAGTGTATGTTATGATATTTGTTTCGTGTGCAAGATATTATTGCACGAATATGTTGTGCATTCGTGTGTCGACGAATGAGCACGTACCGAATCATCGGCGCGGACCTACCGATTAAATCTCATAACCGATATTCTGCTATAATAAATTTCAGATTCTACGTTCAACTTTCAAGTTTGGAAATCTGCGTATTTGAAAAAAAATAGCAAAGACTAAACATACGGAAAGCAAGATATGCTCTTATATGTGGTTAGATGCAATTAAAATAACAAATCTAAATAAATTTCCATCTTTTTTTAAGTAATCGGTTTTTACTAATAAGGAATAAAAGCAGATTAAAATTATAAGTGAAAATAAAAAGTAGGTACATGAGAAGAAAGTAATTGTTTTTTGCATTTTAAATAACCTCGTCACATTACAAAAATTTTACGTTTCATTAAATATCACAGGATTGAGATGCGGAATACGGTATTAAAGTAAGATATAATCTCTAAGATTTCCGGAAGAGACGTGGAAAATTTGTAGGGAAAACGCGTCGAGGAGCGTTAACACTTCGTCGCACCGACGACATTACGTCACTTTCTTCGTTGGCCATTTCAAGTAGGCAGAAGACCTTCTCAGACAGAGATTAGGAGGTTGTGCAGGGTTTCTATAAATAATGCAACGTTTAACTCACCCTTTCCCCTCCGACCGCTCAACGACGAGCTAGTCCCGCACCCCAATGTCGGAGACAACGTTTTAAGTGGCGGAGCTTGTTTCCCGCTCGCCTGCTTGGAAAGTTAAAGTTAATGCGGGAAGGAAACGTACAAATTGTAGAGTGGAAAGTCGTAATGGATTGAGCGCACTCTCATTCAAATATTTAAAAATTTTATGATTCTTTATATCGTTTTCATAATTTTCTTATCAATTTGTTTCCATTAAATATATTTTTGGAAATTTTCTCTAATATGTTTATAACAAGAATATAATTTCGTTGAAACATTTTTGTTTTAAATAAAGCATGACAACCCACATTATTTATTGGCGTACGTTTCTTCAATATTTAGAAAATGATATTATTAACAGAAAATTTCGCATTAAATATGGCCGTTCAATATAATTTTTATGTTAGAAATGAAACTCAGAACAGGACGGATATATTTGACGTTTAACGTGCAGTGGGAATATGATCCATCGGAGTTTATTTCGTAATTTCCTCTCGTATATCGTTTCGCTTGATATGTAATATTATAAAGGACAATCGTTGAGCAATTTATGTCGGTTATATCTTTATTACATATCACGTATTTGTTATTATAATGATATAAATAATGGTTTCTATTACGGCATGATTGGAAACTGCAGGCAGAGTAGTATCGAACGCCGCCGTCATTTTCAGACCCATAACATGTTGTTGCAACATTAGCGTACTCAATGTTCATTGGGGAGCAATATACACGCCGTAACATTTATACCCAAATTAGAGGTAAACAATATCGTGCCAATGATTATTATTGGTGATACTGCGGCTACACAAGCTTGCGCCACGAATCGTGTACGAATAACCGTTAATAGACGATTCGATTAACACTTGGCTTCCCTCGCGCAATTTATTTTGCTTATGTATGTGTACCAGTATTTATATTTATGTTTACTTTCACATCTATGCTCAAACACACACACACACACACACACACACACATGTAATTTTCAGAACGAGTTAAATTTTCTCAAAGTATATTATCGGTGTTTCTAACTTTATATATTCTAAATTCTAATTCAACTTGATCGGATTAGATTCTTCCTCAAGCGACTGCAGCGTAATCGTAAGATTATAAGGGCTTCTTCAAGATGGAGATCTATTCTTGTTTAACATCCCGTATAGAGATGTGGCTACTCGCAGAAGCCCACAGCCAACCGGGCATCAATATTAATGGAGCTATGCCGCATTTAGGATTTAGGGTGGAATAATGTATAGTGATCGCATTGGAGAAGTGTATGCTGATATTGTATACAGGCATACGCATACACAAAGGCGTGCACGCACGCAAGTGTACGGCCCCGGCTGGCGTCCTATCGGTATCACGACCATAATGTGTCACCACGATCGACTAGGACGCGTAATTTCAATCGCGGCCAACCCATTACCGTGTCATTATGTCGTGATGTAATGATGTAAACTAATGTCTCTCTCGTACTAGTGCGTACGTAAACGTGATATTTCGGGGTACGGTGCATGTAAAGCCAAAGTTGTGTGACAGCAAACTTGAGTAGAGCCTCGGGTTGATGCGATTAAAATTGATCGTCATAGATGGTCGTAATGATTATCACAATTTTACCTAGCCAAACCTCGAGCCAAACCTTATTTAACACAAAATTATATCGCCGTCTAATTTCGCATGTATATCAAATGTCATCAAATGTAAATTTGGCAAACACAAAACAATCAAAAATATATTTATAATTTATAAAATATTTAAATAATAGTAATTTATTTATTTACAGGGAAAGAACGATTTTGCTGAGGTATCTACAAATTTAGCTATAGATACAGATCTGAAAATAATTTTGTTGCACTATCTCAAAATAATTATGTGTTAGAACACTGAAGCACGATGATGTATTTAGCTAAATTTTTAGATACTTCAACAAAACTGTTCTTTTCTGTACATTTTACGTTAATTGGCTAATGTTTTTTTCCATTATTATATGTGTCACAATTGTTGCGCGGTTTTTGCCTTATTTTTATCTGAATTGCTCGTATTTTATAAAAAGTATTTTTTTCGCGATAATAATTCATGGACATCGGCGCGAAATAAGTGAAAATTCTGCAGCATTAAGAGATTATATATAGCTGTATATAGATCCTCGAAATATATTTTCCTCGAGTACGACTACGCGAAAGGAAGATATAAATTTTACGAAACGGCCATAGATATATACGCTGTCTTGGAAGCAAGGTGTCGTACGCGCGTTTTATGGCATGTAATTTCAATAACGACGAGTGTATTATCGTGTCGAAATATATACCACGATAAATCTGTGCTCCGTAATATCGATTCGCGTGTCACTCTTGCGTGCGGGAAATACTGTTGAGAGAGGGAGAGAAAGCTTATCTAAGAACATTAATTTTCTTAGACCATTATACTATATAGAGTATTATTTAATTGCGTTACATTAATTTAATTAACAGCAAAAGATCCCTTTCAATCGCTTATAACTTAAAAATGATCGATGCTTTTTAATTATAAGAAAAAACGTATGTATATAGACTTTCCTTCACCTGCGATGTCGATTTCGATATTCAATTTTCTGACCGACAAAACTGATTTATTACGACAAGATGTCCAATTTTTGAGAAGAGAAAATTGCAGAAAATTCTCTGTATATAAATCGTGAGGTTTTATATTTAATAAGGTAAAGGACTTCTAAAAGAAGAAATGTCGACAGGAAATTAAAATAGAACAAAATATATTAGAATTTTTAGTACCGCACAGATGGCCCGAAACTACCGAATGACGTTTAAAGTGCCTATACTATCCTTGAATTTGAAACTCTTTTTCTCTCTGCTCGACGTTGATTTCGATATTAAATTTTCCAGCATAACGACAAAACTGATTTATTGTGACAAGACGTCGATATCGACTCCTCGCGGGGAGAAAATCGCAATCGGCGCGAGTCGCAACGCGCGGCGTGGAAATTGCGCGACTTTTCTCTTCGAGATCTCGGGCGCGCGAAGGGACATTCCCGAGAGATGGGAATTTTCGAATATATTTTCATCCCGCTGTAAACTCATACCGCGCGCACGGAGAAGCCTGTCGGAAACCTGCTTCGCCAGTCGCTGTTCGCCCGGGGAAAACGCGGATATGAAATTTGAACTGCGGAATTTCGATTGGCTCTATCGACGCGTCCTTCGCAAATTAGCTTACTTGTAGATAGGGGGACAGAGAATTCAAATTTAATCGCGCGGCAGCCTTTGCAGTTCCAAACAGGGTTCCTAACGGGGAAGTAGCATTATTAGCTTTCGAATCGAACCAATCAAGTCGCTTCCTTATTAAGCCCCGCGGGGTTCCTCTCCCCCTTGTCCCTGTCTCAGTTTGCCGTCATACAGCAGAAACGAATCTCTGAAACATCCTTCGTCTCTTATTTAATTATCTCTTTTTTTTTGCGCGCGCGATTGTCATACCTGCCGCTTTTGATGCCCGATCGACCGATTTCGGAACTGTTAAAAATTTTGACTTTCCTTATCTGAATTCTAAATAAATATTATTATTACCTATATATAATAATAAATAAAATAATAAGCATAACTAATAATATATGATAATTAATTAATCAAATTCATGTACATAAAATGTGTTAATATTGATGCAGATATCAAAGTCTTTGCGTTTCCTTCGAGCTTCAAGATTATCTCATACTTTGACGCGGTTCGGCGGTCAATGAAGTATTCTTATCTCGTCTTCCCGTTTTAGTAACGAGGAATTCCCACAAAAAAAAAACAGGAGAAGAACGAGAGAGTGTATGTGTAAAAGCGTAACGCAATTAAAAAGGGTTCTCCGCGCGGGTCGGTTTCTTGCCCGTCTCGGCAATTTCGCCCGGACGTAGGGAGGAAGTCTTCGGTCATCGCGGATAGACGCGATCAATAGCAATTTTAATTGCTAATTAAGCGCGGCGCTAGTTAGACGGATATGTGTTTCGTATTTAATCCTGCGATAAGACGATAAGGCGATAGGGGTTGCGGGCTATACAAGGCTCACCCGTTAGTGGTCGAGTCAAAAACATCGTTGTAGTCCTCGTCCGTGCTGTAGTCCTGCACGTCGGTATCCGAATCCTCGACATCGCCATTTCCACCTGCAAGAAGATAATTTTCGTTAATTCTCAGAATATATCGAAACGTTCCTTAAAGTTGATAAATTATTATTTTAAATAAGAACGTAAAGGCTCACTTGGTTTCCAATCAATGAAAAAAGAAAAGAGCAATATGATGAAACAAATTTTAATTTATTTTCTTAAATCACATTTTTAATTTGAAATTAAATCATCAGCCTAATTTGATAGAGAAAAATTAATCTTTTGAGATTTTATACACTCTTTCACTCGCCAGTGCTCAATTTCAATGACCACGGCTATTAAATGAAATCTGGAATTTTCTTGTACTAACGGCAATTAGCGTTCTTGTGGTAAGATTATACAGTTTCTTGTGAAGTTCGTCGTGAAACGAACCGTTCGTTATCGATTCAATATTGATGTTAAATCAAGAGTAGATCAAGCTCAGCTGAAGGATTAAATTAATTCTCGTGCACATTTCCGGTCAATTTCACTTCAATAGAACTTAATTACCAGCTCGATAATCAAATTTCGTCTGAGCATCGATATTTTACGAAATAGAAAATTGAAAAAAATAAACAACTATTTTCTATCTTATCGTTATTATAACGAGAGTTATTTCAATATATATTTCTCCTTATAAATATATAAATTATAATTGCTATTTATTTACTAGTGATATAGATATTAATAATAATAATAGATACCATATTTTACTGCGATATATACGCTCTAATCAAGATTATTCTTGGCTGACTATTCGGTTCTTCGTGAATATTAGCAACGTTCCCACTCTTTATCATCGTTTCTATGTCGGTCTAACGATTTTTCCAGCGTTCCTGCGTGCACATGAAATTCGGGGAGGGTTAACGCGTCGAATTCTCGACATTCCGACGATTAAATTACAACCGGTACAACGGATATATTTGCCGAAGTCGGAGGGGTAATCTCCATGCACACAATCATAACTTACTCGCACGTCTTCCGTATCCTAGTAGGTAATATATTTGGCTAGACGGTGCCGTCAACAAACGATACCGTCGGTCGGCGGTGCCGCGAGATTAATTTGTGAATCGTGATTAAGGTCGGCACGTTCCCGAGGTTGTTAGCGCGGTAATGAGTAATCCGACGGCGAAAGAGGTTTAATATGGAATCCCATTCTGGGACGGCACATGCGGCGTTGTTCAGCATGCTATAATTGAAGAGCTGACGCAAATAACTGAAACTATCATATTTATAAACGTCACATTTTCTGAAAATTAGCTGAATGTTGTAAAAGTTTTTGTGGTTGATAAATATGGAAATATTTCCAAGGTAATGAAATAAATATAAAGAATATTTTCTTTGTGTTTTCTTCTTTTTCTTTATAAATTAAAACACTTAAAATATAGAAAATTAAGTTTCTTAATAATACTTCTATTTTTAGGGAAAAGAAGGTAGAATTTTATTGTTATTTTATATTCATAATAATTTGATATAATTTTGCAATGAGTAATGTAAAATATTATTTAATAAATTTTCTACAGTATAAGATTTGATATAATAATTGATACGTTTTCAATTACTAATCAAATTATTACATCTATACATAAACGCACTTTGTGCTCTTCCTACTTGGGCGACGTACCGTAACACGATTTCAAAAGAGCGCAGTTTTGTCGACTTTATGTCATAATTCCATTCATAAAAGTTGGCAACATCCGGGCGCACGTCGTGCTGTCTTGTAGTATGCTGTACGTGTAAAGTTTTGGCTCGTAGCCGTAGCCAAAGCTATTAAATAATCGAGTAAATTATCCACTCCTGCAATATCTCCCGCAACGTCAGCCGAGCGGGTGCCAAGAACAAATTTAAACTTCTATCCCCCCCCCACGAGCATTCGCCTTTCGATCCATTGACCAACTCGATTTATTCGCTACACGCATTAGACGTTGATAGCTTGCCGCAAAAATGTTGTAACTCAAAATATTACATTTCTCAGAGCATATATGTTGAGAAGAACATATACTTTCCTTGGAAAATTCGATCTCGCTTTTAAAAAAATTAAATATTTGAAATAAAAAATTCTCACATAAGTAATGACCTTGTACAACATTTCTGCTAAAAAAAGAATTGTTGTGAAGAAGCTAAACCTTGTGTACAAGTTTTCCAACAAATATACCGTCCTAGAATACAATATAAATCTGTTTTAGAATTATTTTTTGGCTTGTCATACTTGATATATGTATATAACACTATTTTATTAGCAAGAAACATATATGTCTCATCGATGGGCACTTCAAAAAATAATTTGTTTTTGAGTTATAACCTTGTTGTATCGAGCCATCGATTTGATTATAGTCTATCACGCTGGAACGATGATAAAAAAATTTTTTTGGTTGTTGCCCCTCCCGTACGTGCTTTATCGTCGATAGGCTGCGACGCCGGGATTTTGATCGGATATAGAGAAGTTTTGCAAATATTGATATGGGAAAAATATGAATTTTATTCGCCGCGTACAGGCGCGATGCGTCCCGCTCGGATTGTAAAGTGACGTTTAACTTTGAATTTCGTCCGCGCCGCGAGTTTTTCGGCGAGCGCACGATAAAAAATCCACTCAAAATAAATACGAAAAAATCTCTGGTCGATGTAAAATAAAAGCGCGCGCAGTATATGACAAATACCGGCGGGTGTGCGCGACTCCCATCTCTACTTCTATATCGAGATTGTAATATTGATTGACAAAGCCGTGTGACGTTTTTAATATATAAAATATGTAGGAGATGCGCGCGATATATCGACGTAGATTTTCCGATCGCGCAATCAGTGACAAAGCACTCTGTAAATCAAACACTTGTGGTAAACAACAGCGGGGGATTTATGTGTTTTTATTTTGTTCATTTTTAATATCAAATGCAGTTTGCAGAATTCACATTTTACTAAAAATATTATTGGCAATACTGAAAATGTTAAAAAGTATATTACATTTCCATTTTAGCACGGCGAAGCTTTCATAAAACTAATACAGGAAAATGTGAGAAATATCTTTAATTATTCAATAAAATTGCATGATTATTTACAGAATATAGAATCCCTCAAGAATAATTTAATAAAACAAATTAATTTATTTTTACCCGTATAATTAACAAAAGGGAAGATCTTGGAAATTTATCAAAAACATTGAAATGCGAAGAGTATACGTTAGAATTTTAATCCTCCTCAACGAGAACGCTCTGATTAAGCAAGCTGTGGTTTAATCTTGCCTATCAGCGTTGCAGTGATATTACAACGAGTTGAGCAGTCATTTCGTTAGCGCCGCGTAATTGTCGCCGCGAGATTGCGGCCGCAGAAAGGCCCTTCTCTTACACTCTCTCGCTCGGTCCCGTTCTCTACTACTATGACAGTTCGTCTAATATGAAAGTAGTACAGCAGGACTGCGGAGAGTGACTAATCCCGCTGGCTGTCGTTGACAAAAGCGTTCTCCTAGGACTCGTAAAGACAGTAATCTCGCGTCATGCATCACGTACCCCGCGTAACGATCCTACGATTCGATAGGCAAAATGGCGAACGATGACTGGTTGTCAGATAGTTGCACAGATGTCAAGGAAATCAAGCTGATTGTCGAACAGAAAAGATAGCCTAATCCTAAACATTTATTGCATAGTTTGTGCATATAAATTCTCTCTCTGTTATTTAATAAATAAAATAGTTGCAACTTTGCAAGGAATTTTAGCAAATAATTAATAAAATATTTTTAATTACTATAGGAATAATTATAAATAATATTATTTTATCATTATTGAAATAATTATATATAATTATCGTTATATATATATATATATATATATATAATTTAAAGATATCTATACTGGGGAACTTATTTTATATGTATAAAGATGCTTTGCCAAACATTGTCAAATATTATGAATATTATATTAGGAATTTATAATCTGTTTGTTAATAAAATTCTTCATCGGAAAATTCTATTCGCGTCATAATTTCGAATTTCTGATAAACGTTATTGATGTAACCAATGTAGTCTGGCATATTGTCGGAAGTACACAACTCTGGCGTCCCTATATATTTCGCGTATCCGCACGTGATGCGTTCTATGTTTATAACATGTGTACGCCAGTTGGCAAATGTTGTCAACGCAGATTTCATTTTGAATTACCGAGTTGATGATATCGTGAATATAATGAGATTTATCATACCATATGAAAATCGCTGCAGAATTTGCTGCTTTAACGTGTTCGCCGTAATCATCGAAAGTGGTGCATTTATGTGATTAAAAATCCGGATGTACATTCCCCACACAAATCCCTGTTATAGACGTATATTTTTATTGTTTGTTTCGACGATATTACAATTCTAGAGCAAAATTGATATAATCGAAAATATCGCGGAGTAAAAGATGAAATATAAAACGAGCATTGTTCTTTTTTCACAAAAAACAGCCCAATGTTTTATTAATATTTTTATTAGTTGCATCAAACTCACCAAAATTACCGAAATGACTCTAAACTATTCGCATTCATGGAATACTTATTACTTAACAACAGCGTTGCATCGAAAAACCGCAACGATTAAACGGATTTTCGTAACGTAGTCAGTTTGAACTGCGATTCAAGTTAAATTTCACGGATCGTTGAATGCTACCACCAAAACTCCGCATTCTTTAACGACTTCTGATTTCGATGTTACGTGCATACGAATATTTTCCGTGTCAGTGCGTACGAATCGAGCCGCGCAAATCACCGAGACATGCTGTTTTTAATTACAACAACGTGACTGCGGCCGTGCAATTTATGGAAAGAGACAAGCTGCGCCGCATAAAATAGCATCGGCCTGAAAATTGCGTCCGTACTTTTCGTTTAACTGCGCATCCGCGATCGAATTTTACATTGCCGTTGCAAAATTTCATATCGAGGAAAAAATTCGCTTATTTTCACGACATAAATTTCTTTTTTATTTTCTCACAAAGTTTATTCTTTAAATTAATTCTTCAATCAGTATACATCCTTCTCATTAAAATGTTATATCTGAAT